TTATTGGATCTGACACCCACTCGAACAGTTCATGTGAAGTAGTTATCTGGCAATCAGATGGACGTTGAAGACTTGCATGAGTAGCCATTTTTTTTTACTATCTATTCCATCATGAATCCTTGCCATGCGCCGCCACAGTGGTCTAAATCAGTTGCGTAGCGCGAAAAAGTCCAAAAAAAATCAATTTAATTTGAGCATTTTGAGCGCTTTATATTGTTGTAAACATTCCAAAATATTAAAAACTATAAATTTTTGTCGATAACGTTAATTTACAATGGCGTATGTAGTAAGATAATTATGTTTATGTTCCCGACCATTAACATACTGTCGCGACTGCTCATCGGAAACAAGTGTAACATAGCGTCCCTTCAAGACGTTGACCCAATGACCCATATTCCGGAGCAACAAGTGTGTTTGACTCGGGGTACTTCGTCTCTATACGGATAAATGCGAGACAAGAGTCTAAGCGTCCATGCCCTCACTATTTTCATTTCTTCTCCCTCTAATCAAATCCTGAATTAAACTTCCAAGGGTTTGGACAGGCGATGAATATAGGAAAATTTTAAGTAATATATATTATTTGCATGAAAGATTTGATATCAAAAACTAGTGCTAAGTTATAATTCCATAGAAATAATATTTTCCAAATGATACGTATATATATATATATATATATCATTTGTATCATGTGCATGAAAGATTTCATATCGATCATTAATAACACATGTCCACAAAAAAAAAGTATCCTGTGCTGGGGTGGAGACCCAGCTATTCTTATGTATTTTGAGTCGCTGAATACGAATTTGACATCAAAATAGGATCATCCAGGGTAAATTTTCAATCTAGAGCGAAAAAATGACCCATTTTTCCTATTTTTGACTCATTTTTTCATAGCGTTTTTAATTGGATGCAGCCAATTAAAAACGCTATGCCATATTTTTCCATCTAATTTGTTGCAGCAGCTAATCTTTTTTTTTTTAGTATATATGTATATGTTCGTGCTACTGACAAATTCGCGACAATACCACTAGCTTTTTCCGAAGTTCAAGCTTTCGATTAAGATCATTCAGAAATTAAAATCGCAATCAAAAATTTAACAACACTTTTATTAAATATATATAATACCAGCGCGATCTTCCGATTGCGACTAGTCTGAATAAACTTGGTGCAGTCGGTACCAAGATCTGAAGATTAAATCCGGAAAAAAAACTATTTTAGATTTTTAGATTTTTTTCAGTCACGCGTATAAACGCATACATGTAAAGCATTTTGTCTATCAATATTCACAATGCCTTCATTCAATAACATTATATTAAAATTAGCAATGTAAGTGAACATTAATGTACACCAAGAGTCAAATTTTGGAACGCAACTTTGGAAAACTAAAGCACTATAATATAAGTATTCGCATCCGCTATTTTTAGTCCTTTTCTCACTTTCATGCTCTTTTCTTCAATCCACTCAGCCGCTAAACTAAAAGATTGAAGAGAGAAGAGAGAAGGTTGAAGAGAGAACAAAGAGTAGAGAAAGAACTAAAAATGGCGGATGCGCAAATACGCGGAACTCTTTAGAAAAAATTAGAACACATCGAGAACTACTGTATATAACGTATATATGGACAACTACAATCAAACACAGAACTAATATATAACTTACATATTATATTTCTTAAAATTATGTACATTTTAACAGTGCGCAGTTTGATAAAAAGTATTTTTTTCAATAAGTTCAATGTTTTTGAAAAACAGTACAAAGATTTACCTCCAAAATGCTTTTTTAAAAAAAATTCTTATGATTTTTCTTGACTGAATTACACGTCATTGAAGTTAAACCTGCATAGCTCATAACCAACATTAAAATTCGGTGAAATATTATCGCAAAAAATTAAAAATCATTTTGAAGCTCTAAGTTTCTACTTTAACAAGCTTCTGAACGTTTTTAAATTTAATTCTAAGAATTGAGTAGATAAAAAATTTTTGTGATTATTTTTTATCAAATTTCACCGTTGATTATTTAGCAATGCATGTTTAACTTCAATGTTGCGTAATTCAATCAAGAAAAATCATAAGAATTTTGTTTAAAAAGGCATTTTGAAGGTAAATCTTTGTACTGTTTTTGAAAAATATTGAACTTATTGAAAAAAAAACTTTTTATTAAACTGCGCACTGTTAAAATGTACATAATTTTAATTTTGTACACGTTCATTACATTTAAGTAACTACTGTAACTTAATTTTCAGTTAAATCATTTATAGTCAATTCATTACTTTTAATTTTGTTCATAACCACGAGCTTCATTTACATGTAAAGGAGCGATATTTTTAATGATTGGTCCAAAATATAACTATAAAATTATAATCACTTTAATCATTTTTATAGTAATTTCAACTATAATTATAGTCATTTTAGGTTGCCAACTATATACATTTGTTGCTAGAACTATATACATAATTACTGTTACTATTATTATAGTAATAATAATCATAATTATAGTGATATGTAATTATAGTTACAAATACAAAACATTTTTCTCTCAGTGTACATCTAATTCTGTAACAATTCTGTTGTTATTTTGTTAGCACAGGCCGCAGTCTGATTCACAACGCTTAAAAATCATTTCACCTTTGCTGTTTGTCAAATGTTAAACGAAGACAAACGATGCTCATGAGCGCTGTCAGCATGAATTAGACCACGGCCATAGTGTGTAGCAGACATTTAAAAAATCTGCTTTCTATAGACTTGGTTATCTGGATAAAGCAGTGAGAAGGGATGGCCACTCCCACGTGCTGGCGAGAAATCTCTTTACGGAATAGATAGAGACGCCCTTGGAAGGACGGAAGCAGAGGGGACCGGCTATAGGAATACCTTCATCTTAAAAATGTTTTAAGTACATCTTAAAATGTCGTAAATCAATCCGAAGACTGTATTAGCCGACTGTATTATCCGAAAACACACCATACTATCCTTCCATCATGGTTAAATCCCGTATGCCAGAATGCGCGATGACTCTCATGCTATTTGCGGAATACGCGGGCCAATCGGATCGCGATACGGCCCCCTCCTCGTGGGAAATCGCGAAAGCGTCCCTCGGAAGTTTCCGCGTCCAGCACTTGTCTAACCGAAGTCTCGTGAAACCGTCCGAACACTCCGAACAGTACGGACGTATCGAGGGACGTATTCGGTTGCCCGCTCGCAAACCAATTGTTATAATTATTAATTTTAGTGAAGTGCAATCTGGTGCTCTTTATTATATTTATATTTTATAACCACTTTTAAAAGTTTAAATTTAAAAAATTAAATAATGTCGTGGCTCATATAGGCATGATATATAGTTTATTATAAGAATACGAACACTAAATAATATTCACATTGTTTAAATTTTTTTTAAATATACGAGCATTTTTATTCTATTTTTGAATAAAATTATATACGCGTGTAACTGGTTCTATTTCATTAAAAGTGTTTGGTTCGTCATTCTGTTTTAAATATGACTTCTATTATGTTCGCCATTCTTGTGGGTGCCGCTATTGCAGCGGCACTCGAGCTGGCGAGAAGAAAGCAGATAAAAAAGAAATACGGTCGACGGCGACGACAATAAAATAAAATGTAGTCGCCATCGCTATCATCGCCACCTTTCGCCACTGCCATCCCTACTGCCGCCAACCACTGCCGACCATCACCAACGCCAAACCTTCTTAAGTTTGTCGGAGCGAGGGGAAAAAGGAGTCGAAGCTGCGCGGAAACCTGGAATCCCTTTTCGGTTGATTTCCTCTGGCGATAGAACGAAAGGTAAGAACGAATAAAAAAAACGTATTCGGCGACATTAGATGACGTTCTTTTTATCATGTAAGGCGGGGAAATTATAACATGCAACAAAATAATAATAAAAAAAGAATATAAAATTTAACTATGCGCGATGGAGAACAATCAGCGTCGCGGCGGAAGCGAGACCACTTTTATCGCCCTCGTCAGTCGCCTCAATTCTGACGATTCGCGGCAGAGTGCGGGAAACGAGACGGGACAGCGGCGAGTCCTGGTGGTTTTCTGGAACCGGATGATACTGCGGAGTATATCCTGGACCTACCGGGGGTCAGCGAAGATTCGCGGGTCGAATGTCGCCGCGCGATGATACTCGTGTACGAGAACTCGTAGGGCCTGTTCGCGACTAGCCCTCCTAGTAGTGCGGCCGCAAAATCGAGTCGGACACGAATGACGTGTAGCGTCCAAAGGTACCGAAAATATATGATGTTCGAATGTTAAAGCTAATCCGCGCCAGTGAACGAAAGTGCATAAAAATAATCGAGTCGATTTCGCTGTCGTATTTTGCGGGCGGTGCACTGAGGAAAAGAGGGAAGAGGAGCAAGACTCCGATCTTCGAAAGAAAGAAAAAAATAGAATTTGATGCGAATTAATTAGCAGCGTTTAATGGAAAATTCTTTTACATCAGAGATAACGGGTAACTCATAAAAATTAACTGTCGCGCTCGGAATATGGACAATAAATAAAATAAAGGAAAATAATAAAAAATAATAATTAAAAAAAGAAGAAAAGAAAAAGAAAAGCTAAGAATTAACAGTTAACGCATAATTGAATTTCGTATTTAGAACGCAAGAATATTTATTTTACACGTAGATAGATTATCGCAAGAATTTCGCATGATACTGTGCGACTTACAGTATTTCTCTCCGTAGGCGAAAAGTGCTATAAATATTGCTAATGAAATATGTTCTCTCAGCCGCTCAGCATGTATTAAGAGACATGGAGACATTCTAGATAACATACAGGGTGTCCCGAAATTTTTTGCTAATTACTTTTGTGTAGATAAAGCGGACTAAACTGAATCGAAAAGTCCTCTACCATTTTGTAATTTTCGCAAAGTTAACAAGATATTAATTACTAAAGATTGCAAAATATTGGTCTTGAATAATTTTTTACTCAAATACTATCAACTTTACAGAAAAATTGCAAGAGATAAAAATTATTTATTTTCTTCTCATAAAGTTCTGAGAATTTTTTCAGAATTTTTTAATACCGTATTTTCTCATGTTGGTACAAATAAGAAAATGCAGTACTTAAAAGTTGATAAAAAATTCTGAAAAAATTCTCAGAACTTTATGAGAAGAAAATAAATAATTTTTGTCTCTCACAGTTTTTTTGTAAAGTTGATAGTATTTGAGTAAAAAATTATTCAAGACAATTAGTAAAAAATATTGTAAATATGTATAATATTTATATAATTTGTTTAATTTAGTTTAATTTGTGCGCTCGAGATATCCTTCCCATTTTCTCCTTTCCTTCACATAATTCGGGAGATGATGACATTAAAATGGTCATGATTTGTTACCGTTTGAAATCGTCATAATTCGTCATTTATTAGGTAAACATGCAGGAAACGCAAGTATGGCAAACCTCCCGCGGTTTTCAAATTGATAGCGTGTGATTAAAGTTGTAAAAAATTTTTTGTTTTTTTCCTAATATGTTACTGCTGGCATATGTTTCTAGTGATAGTTTACGTCAAAAAAAATCGGAAGGTAAATGCCATACCGTGAATCGAAGAGGCCGTCGAACAAGCTAAAGTGGTAAATTTTTTAGCGAAAAAAAGATTTGTTACCGGCTGTTTTTTGTACATTGCCTATTTTCACTACGAAACATACAAAAATACACATGCCATATCGTTTAAGTGGACCTAAGGGGTCGCTATGCTCGTCCTAACATGTCGAATTTTGAACTAAAACGTCATGATTTGTTACCGACTAAAACTTTGTATATGTTATTTACATCATAAAATGTAAAAAAACATAATTATCATACTGTCTAAGTGGGCGAGAGGGCTGATACAAGGGTTGAAAGTTGTACGATTTTAAGGGTCATAGCGAGAGACGTATCACTCTCGAGTCACAGTGCGAGTCTTAGCGAGTCGGTGCGTTTAAGAAATGAATCGGCGCGAATCAACGAGTGCAAACAGCTAAAATAGTGCGAGGAATCAATAGAAGTCAGTGAAAATAAAGGAGCGAATCAAACCGAGTCAGCGAGAGTCGAGCAACGATGTTTATTTGATTCGAGAGTGAAACACCCCTCGGGGCGTATCACTCTTGAGTCACAGTGCGAGTCTTAGCGAGTCAGTGCGTTTAAGAAATGAATCGGCGCGAATCAACGAGCGCAAACAGCTAAAATAGTGCGAAGAATCAATAGAAGCCAGTGAAAATAAAGGAGCGAATCAAACCGAGTCAGCGAGAGTCGAGCAACGATGTTTATTTGACTCGAGAGTGACATACCCCTCGGTCATAGTAATTATATATTACTTTCTGGCACTTGTTTCATTAGATATGTTTCTAAAAATAAACATAAAAAAATTAAAATATATAATATATTCGGTAAAAAATTTTTCATGCAAGAATATATATAAATACGAGTATATATAAAAATATGCATAAACATATGTTAAAGGTTTATAAACATATATAACTACATAAAAATATATAATTATATACGAAATATGTTCATATATATGTTCATACATTCTTCTTTCTTTTATAGAATTATTATATAGTATAATAAAAATAATAATAATAATAAAAAAACATACATAAAAACTGTGAAACGACGTTATCCCGTCATAATGAGCACCCCTACCTCGGTATTTAGGATTTAAATATCAGAAATGAAGGAAAAAAAACGTGAAAGAAAAAGAAAAATGCAAAAAAGGAAAAAGAAAGGAAATATGGAAATGAGAAAAAAGAGAATATGGAAAACTAATTTAACAGAAAATTTTTTTAATTATAATTAAATATCCCGAAAATAGGGACGCTCACCATGATCACAAAGCATCATATCGCAAATATTATTATGAATAATTCAAAAACCGGTTCTTGATATGTTGGCAAGTCAGTATCAGACACAGTGAGTCACTTTTAATTTTGTCTCTGAAGAGGGCTCAAAAGTGAGCCGAAACATGTAAGCGCGTTTAGTAGAAAAAGAAGTTTTACGTTTTTACGTGTGTTATTTGCGCGACGTCTTCCGCGCCTGACTCCTAGTGCCCTTGTTTTTTCCAGTTCCTCTTGTAAATCAATTCATACAAAAGTTATCATTACGTACCAAGAGCCGCTATGACTGAAAAATGGCAATTCTTTTTAATGATTATAATTGATTGTAATTTCGGCGCACAGTTTAAGAATTACATATGTAGTATATAAAAATTCACACAATAATTATTCAGTGCTAAAGATCTAGATTAACCGTTTAGGGCCTTTATTTTTTATCATTATAGTTGATCAATAAACTTTGAATTTTTGTTTAATTATTGTTGCTCAAAATGTACAGTAGATGCATTGAATTATAATTATATAGACTGTACGGTTTGTTTCCTACTTTTATAATAAATAAAATTTTTTACTTCGGTACACTATTAATATTTTATTCCATAATTACAATTTTTACTCCAAACATGGCCCAATTACTTTCAATATTTTAAAGCAAGCTAATTTTGAATTTTGTTACTTAAATCTATTAAGGCGCGAATTCGTGATAGTGCTAATCCTACTGTAAATGTAAGTATACAGCAAGGTTTAAGTTTCTCCATTTTTATTATATAATTACGGAGCATTATTGAAGTTGAAATTATCACTTAAAAATCAAAAACTCACAAAATGGTATAATTATACTGGCCGATTTGAAAAGATCTAACCCTGTTTATGAACATTATATGGTCTTTTATTGAGTATGGCAAGGGTTTTCACCCGTATGATTGATATGACACTAATTTTTTTGTAATACATTTTACAGTTATAAACTATCCAAAAAACGAAACCCATACGGTAACAAATCATGACGTTTTAGTTTAAAATTCCACATGTTAGGACGAGCATAGCGACCCCTTAGGTCCATTCAAACGGTATGGCATATGTATTTTGATATATTTCGTAGTGAAAATAGGCAATGTACAAAAAAACAGCCGGTAACAAATCTTTTTTTTTCTAAATTTTTTAAAAAATTTACCACTTTAGCTTGATTTGACGGCCCCTTCACAGAAACGGTATGGCACTTACCTTCTCTTCCGATTGGTTTTTTTGACGTAAACTATCACTAGAAACATATGCCAGCCGGTAACATATTAGGAAAAAAGCAAAAAATTTTTGACAACTTCAATCACACGCTATCAATTTTAAAACCGCGGGAGGTTTGCCATACTTGCGTTTCCTGCATGTTTAATAAATGATGAATTATGATGATTTCAAGCGGTAACAAATCATGACCATTTTAGTGTCATCATCTCCCGGACTAAGGGCCATTCCACTCAACTTGCATAACCGCATAAACATGTGCATAAAGAAAATCATCCAATCGTAGTTTACGTTTGTCTTCATGACAGAAATGTGATTGGATAATTTTCTTTATGCATATGAATGCGGCTCTGCAAGTTGTGTGGAATACACATAAGGACCCAGACACAAGCTTTTGCATAACGCATAATACATAGTGCATAATGGAATCAACCAATCAAAATTCTTCTTTTCCATGGAATGAGAGGAAAGGAAAGCTTCTGATTAGTTGATTCGCTTATCGCACTATGCGTTATGCAAAAGCTTGTATCTGGGCTCTAACACATATACAGGGTGAATGTTAATGCATGTCCCTACCTTTTATCATGGGAAGTGAGTTATCGACCGCAGCTGTGATTATCTAAACGGTGCATAGATGACTGCCGCTTAGATCGCATATACGTGCTGAAGGATCGAATGCGATGTACAGACAAATTAAAAACTGTCATGCAGTAAGTTAAATAATATTATATTATTGAAGCAATGCATACTCAAATAGCACAGACGATCACTCTAAACTAAAAAAAATTCATTTTTTTTAATTCTTTCTTGGAATTTATGAAATCTTTCCAATCTTTCAAATAAAAAAATCTATTTAAAGAAGATTTTGTAGAAGAGCATAAAAATGTTATTTATTCGAAAAAATGCTTAAAATGAGTGGGAAGGGATATTTAGCTAGTATACATTTACATGTATAAAAATAATAATATAAAATATTAGTAAAATAATACTTATGTTCGTATCTCTCAGACAGCACACGATATTTATAAAATATTTACAAAATATTTGTAAGATTTAACAAAGATTAAAGATTAAAAATTAAAGATTAAAATTAAAGATTAAGATTAAGATTAAAGATTTAATATTTTTAAGATTTAATTTTTTGTGTGCTGAAATAAATTGATAAATTTTAAACATGCTCTTGTTATAACCAGCGCTGATAAGCAAATTTATTACAATATTTACGATAAATATTTCATAATATTTATAATAAATACTTATATTCTGGGCAATTTAAGATATTTACAATATAAAATCCACAAAAATATTTACAAAATATTCAAAATAAATCTTACAAATATTTTGTAAATATTTTATAAATATCGTGTGCTGTCTGAGATACGAACATATGTATTATACTAATATTTTATGTTATTATTTTTATACTTGTAAATGTATACTAGCTAAATATTCCTTCCCACTCATTTTGAGCACTTTTTCGAATAAATAACATTTTTATGCTCTTCTACAAAATCTTCTTTAAAAAGATTTTTTCAGTTTATTTGAAAGATTGGAAAGATTTCATAAATTCCAAGAAAGAATTAAAAAAAATGAATTTTTTTTAGTTTAGAGTGATCGTCTGTGCTATTTGAGTATGCATTGCTTCAGTAATATGATATTATTTAACTTACTGCATGACAGTTTTTAATTTGTCTGTATATCGCATTCGATCCTTCAGCACGTATGTGCGATCTAAGCACATACGGCAGCCATCTATGCACCGTTTAGATAATCACAGCTGCGGTCGATAACTCACTTCCCATGGTAAAAGGTAGGGACATGCATTAACATTCACCCTGTATAAACATATATCCCTATATTCATTATAGGGACTCTATTGTCACTAGTATTAGTACGCCACCTATCTGCAAGGCTGCAATTGTATGTAAAATGGCTGTATATGTACACTACCC